CTTCGCTGATTAAGATCCACTCGCAGGTTTCAATATCTTCACGACAATACAAACACCTGTGTCTTATGCCTTTGCCAATGGGTTGGTTCTTGACCAGAATGGAAGCTCGCTGCCTAACAGGGCAGGGTGTTCGCATTTGGGCTTGTCTTTTTTTAAGGTGTCCAGTTTATGTAGGGCTGGGATGTTCGACTTAGGCGAAGCATACCCCGAAGCATACCCCCGAAGCATACCCTGAAGCATACCCTCTGGAAATGCTACTACTTTAGTCTTCACACTGTGCGAAGCATACCCCGAAGCATACCCTCGAAGCATACCTCCGAAGCATACCCCATAGTCAAACATCCCGGCCCGGGAACCTTAAAAAAAATACAAACCCATTTGTTGCCAGGCTTTGTTGCCCGTCTCTAAGGTAATTTTGGTGAAGTTGGATGTAAGGGACACTGGGGCTGCAGACAGCTTGACTGGGTGTGATATAACAATTGTTGAATTTATTGCTAAATTAGTTAAACCAATTTTTGACTTGTATCTCAATCTCGTCCATGTATACTATATACATGATTGTCACTTTAGAACCTGGGACAATGTACGGGTGAACAACTTGTATCCTCCTTTTGGCTCGTCTTCCCTGAGGATGCGGAGAGCCGGGCGAACTTTGTTCGTGAGGCCCGTGAGAATTCCTGCAACGTCCTGGTGAACAACGCTGGCGTCGACAGGACAGGATCGATTTTTAATGCTTCTATAGCTGTCCCAATATGCTCGAATATTGTCACCATCGACACATACGCATACATAATTTTTAATGCAGCAGCATCTATAATTATATAGCATAAAGTCATAGAGGTTGCGGTACCCTCGCAGTGCTCCGATTCTGTTCTTTGCTAGTTGCTGCCATTGTTTACTTGTTTCATTGAGTTACTTAAGAAAGCCAACGCATGCTTGAAGGAATGCGTTCTTTGAAAAGATGAGCGATGATGAGGTCACTTAGGCTTAGACTTGACCCACCACTGACCACTTGAAAGGGAAAATCTCGCAGTCAGATCCTTTACAACAGGTTGGATGAGAACTCATTTTGGGAGCATCAGAGGCGAATATTGAACACTTGTTCGGATTATTTGATGTAAGATCGTCACCCAAGAAACTGCAACATACTACAAACAAAAATCACAACCCATGTCAAACGATGAGACAGACCTCAGAACATTACACTACACATTTTGAGCCACTTCTCCGAAGGTTGATTTGGTGATGGAGACAAACCTCTTGAGTTGCGTAAAGCTGACCAGAAGCTTCCTCAACATGATGCTGGAAGCGCCTGCAGCTGAAGCTTTATTCGACTCCAATGTGGTTGTTTCGGCCATTCCAATTCTTACTTCACTCATTTAACATCAAAATGTTACAGTAAGAATTAGTAGCGATGCCAGGAGCCCCTATTAGCGTCCTTTGCTCCTAGTAGCGATGCCCTTTGCTCCTAGTAGCTGATGTCTCTGACTTTTTGCTCAAAGAAACAACTCACATCTCATCATCCCTTTGTATTTGTTCTCGATCCATGAGGCCAAGGGAGGGCATATTGTTAACATGTGCTCCGTGGCGTCGCAGGCACTAGCGTCAAAGGGATTTGAAGGGAAAAAGCTCGTAGTAGCGTCCTTGCTCCTAGTAGTAGTCTTTGCTCCTAGTAGCGATGCCCTTTGCTCCTAGTAGCTATAAGGTAAGCAATGATGGTCAATTTGCAAGAATGACTGGTTGACTTCTACTGCTTAATGTGAGAAAGCTAGACTGGTAAAGAACACGTTGTATTTGCCAGCCGCAGAACGATATTCAGTAACTATTACTTCACACGAGAATCTGTCTTCATCAACTTGCGATTAAAGCATCATTCCTGTACTTTTTCCCTGGAAGATTTTGAGCACGTCAACCCATTGGCAGTTGCCCGTGCCCTTTGGTGCCATCTATGCCACTTCAAAGGTGTCTTGGAGCTGAGATACAGAGGTGTGAACAGCAAACATGGCAGGTTGGTGTGATGTGTGTTTGTATATAATATATTAATATATATATACATACGTATCCCTCAAAAGCCCAGCCGAAGGTACAGTACTGTACAGCATCGCAGAGCACATAAACTGAAAACACGTCGATTTTACCCGCTAAATGGGAACTTCACTTTAGCGTTGCAAATTCCAATCCATGTGTGGACTCGCAATCCCTTTCTCAGAGTTGAAGAGCTGGCTACCACGGATGTGGAGGATGCAGCTTCCAAAAGCATTCCCCTTCAAATCGTGAAAAGAATGGTCGATCTACAGAATTGACTTGTTTGTGCCATCTCCAAAGTCTAATTTTGAGCTTCTTGTGACACTTTGATGGGATATAGGCGGTGATTTGCACATGCTTACCTAGGCTGGGCTGCTGGGATTCAGTGCTTCACTTCGAGCAGAGATGATCTATGAGAAGCACTTTGGCCGTGAAAGTGCGCAGAATAGGACAACCAGCTCCGGAAACAAATTCCGCTGTCAACACACGATGGAAATCCAACATTTCATGATTCATCTATGCAATTGATTACTAGTTTGTGTACATTAAGTATATATATGGAGTAGATTGGACTAGTTTGTGGCTGGATAGATGTAATGCAGGGGCAGTGGAAATTGTAGGCAGGCAACCAAGAATGCTTGTTGATTAGACTAGCCCATGGAGGAGAAGAAAAAGCGGAAATTGCTTGGTGACAGTCTTTGCCAGGTGCCTCTGGTAGGGTGCTTGGTGTCCCGTGCTTCTGTTTATGCTTTTGATTGTGGTCAGGCTGTGGCTGTGTCGTGTTTTTTTCTTTGTTCTGGTTGGCTGCCGCGGCTGTTGCTCCTGCTGTTGTAGTGCTTTGTAAGTTGTTTTTTTGCATTTTGCTCCGAACATGAACATGACAAGCTGTCTCAGGAAGCCTGTCACCGTTCACTCCATTTGTCCTGGACTGGTTGTAGATGCTGGCATGGCTTCTGACCGCGAAGAGCGACTAGGAGAGCCGAATGACATCTGGTAATTGGTACTGGTTTCTCAGGTGATCATTTGATATGTGCCTGCAGAGGCATGCCATAGATATCCATAGAGGCCTGTCACCTTCAGTAAACATGTAGTCATGTGTTTACAGATTCTTAGGCACTGCTGCTGTGGATTCAGATGCAGGATCCGGGACAGGTGAGCCCAGCATCACCAATGATCCTTCAACTGCAAACAACTTTGTGTCAGATCACTAAAGCAACGCTTTGCCCAAAATATCAATAACATATTCTGCTTTGCGGACTCAAGCAAGAGAACAGTGTCTCCACACCCGGCAAACAAAGGCAGCAAAAACACCCGTGCAAAGGTTCCAAGGCTCCGGGTGTTGTGAAGCTAGACGAACTATGTCCAGCACGCCAGAGGCATGCAGTTTTAAGCAGTTTTGCCACCATTTCTTTGAGCAAACAGGTGAAACTCATGTATCAGTGTACCGCGAGGACTCACAATCAGAGAAGCCGGGAGGTTGGTGGGTTGGACTACTCCAAAGAGGGTGGCTGAAGCAGTGATTATGGCTATCGAATATGAGCCTTGCCAAGGAGTTTAGATTGGCCAAAGGACCCCCCACAGACGACATCAAGAAGCGCAGAATGACTGCACACGATCAGTCTGACAGTGTATTCGATTCCCAGAATATCAAGCGTGTACCATTGTGATTTCCTCCACGTGAATCAACCTTGCTTGACATCCAGAATCCTCTGCAAGCTTGCACTGGCAAAGCACTGCACTCCTCAGATATTCAGATGTTGCCTGTGGGCTTCCTTACTCCCAGATCTGAGGATGAGCCAGATCTTATAGCCGCTTGTCTTTAGTTTGTTTAACCACCCCAATTGAACAAAATCTGCAGCAGCCCAGACAGTACACTCCAACAACACTTAGCAGAATGTGTACCCTCCCAATGTGACTTTTGGCTTTGCTGTTCCAGTCCAATGGGCGCAGGTGAATTGTATTCCAGCTGCTTGACAAGCAAATGGGTGACGAAGACAACTGTGCAAAGAAATACAATTCAATTTGTTGTTTCCTTCTCCTGAGAAGCAACAATGAATCTGGCTCCATTGCCAAACCTACACAAAGTGCTGGATTTCTGCAGAATGCTTGGATAAGAGCAGCCATTGATGCCGTAATGCAGCCGCACAAAGGTTCGAGTTGTCTTTGGCTTCATGTGCTTTTTTCCCCGGCTCGCGGAGAATACTATGCTTCTATCTTTTCTGCTACTTGGACATCAAACAATCGTCGCGCTTGTTGCGTGATCGCGTGCTTGTTCAAGTGTTCTTCTTTGGTGTTGGTACCAATCTATGCAATTCATCATCACGCCTTGGATATTGACATCCATCATGCTGAGGAAAGGAACAATTGTCGATCGTGTTGTGCGCTACTTCCGGAAGGATGCAGAGTTTGAGGCTTCCCAGAAGTGAATGCAGCGGTGGTCACAGAGAGTGCTTGGAACCGGCAGAACACTCCCAGACATAACGCAGCGGCTTTTCAAGCTATCCAAGGGAAGTGATGAGCATTCCTTTTTCATCCTTTTCCCAGAGTTGAATTCAGCCATACAAACTTCCAATTGCGTTTCTCCGGGTTGCCTCTCGCCGTTTCTGAACCTCGGTGACAAGTGTACTGTGGACGCCAACATGATGATTATTTCTATCTGTACATACATAAGACTTGGATTATAATAGTGGCAGAACATGCTGCCTTGACCACATCAGCCGCAATGAAAAATTGTCCTGTGCCAGTCGCGACTCGACGTTCAGGTGGTGACCCCTTGATTCATTGTGTTGCGGTTCAATTTTGGAACCAATTTGTTACAGTCATTCTGAGGAGCTATCCAAGGGGTGGTCCCACGAACCACCCACTGTCCAACCAGTTTATTGGAATTAGATCAAACAAATGTGTATCCAAACAGCTCGTCCAAAGAGATGGTCGATGTTGCCGCTGCAAGTGTCGGGCTTGGTGGCTTTGCCAAGGCCTTTATTGGTGCATGCTCTCAGGAGCAGGGAAGCCTGATTTTGCAAGATTGAAGTAGAAGCAGACATGCAATTCATGGGAATCTGACAGCAATATATTGGAACTCTATCAGATTACATAATTCCATCATATTTCATCACATTCCTCTTCAATGCCTCAGGCGCGGATTTGGTCAAAGTTGTGGTGTCGACCCTGCACGACATCTTGGACTGCCATGTGCTGGAAGTCCTAGCAAATGTCACATTGGAAAGCCGCAAAGCAGGTCTCTTCTAAGTATGGCTCCTTTTGTGATTGTGCCTGCATGCCCTCAATCTTGGGCGGTTAACAGGTCTGGAACAAGCCCAGACTTTCTCCAACACGTTTTATCTTCAAGACGGCCATGAATTCACTGGCATACTCAACACACTTTCAACTGCTTTTGACATATGTTTACTTGTTGTTTGGTCGGCATTTGCTGAGCTGCACCACACCCTGGAATTGGTTCGTTCCAAGGCCTGAAGAGGCGCCAGAGGTAGCCAAAGAGGGCTTCTTGCAAGCAGGTCCGCTTTGAAGATGTCGAGTCGAAGAGTGAGCATGTGGCTTTTCAAACATGCAAAGCAGCTTCAGTGCTGTGGCTTTTCTTCGTTTTGTTATGCTTGCTTCCTCTCTCCTCATGATGTTTTTTGTTCGCTCATTCGCCCTTTTCGCGGTCCCACAGAGTGAGGTCGTGCCATCCTCCAAGCATTGATGGACCCATTGGCCTTAGGCGGATGGAAAACGCCGATGGTTTACACTATTTTTTTTGCACGGGGCACACGACATGTTTGTATTAAATACATCTAGAAGTATCAGATGTAGGAATCATGTGCAGTGAAGGGCTGTTCAAAGCTTTCTTTCCGTGGCAACAGGAAGAGTGAGAATAAGACCACCACCATGCTTGTGTAATTTTGCTGCGTGCGACAAAAAAGGTCTTCTAGACAAGAGCAGTGGATGTCGTGAAACAACACTTGCAAGTGAGGTATGGGCTGGGATTCCGAAGTGAAGCGTCGCTGTGTGTCTACACTTGCAGCATGGCATCCCAGGCAGAGTAATATATCATTATATCAGCTTCCCAGGTTTGACTGAAGGCACATCACCGGCATTTGAGTCACACTTGTGCTTGCGAGCGTGAGAAATTGTCGAGGAAGTTTGAGGCAAATCAGTCAGGAAGTGAAAACTACAGATGCTCATTGAAGTATCATCACCGGCAAAGCATGGGCCCGAGGCTATCACACCTGAGCTTCTCCGGCGCGCACGCCAATGCCGGACCCTCAAGGGTTTCAAAAACTGGAGTTCTTGATGAAAAAAGCGAATGAAAGGAACTTTGAAAGAGAGAAGCAACCAATGAATGCATAGACAATAGACACCCGAGACGTTTGGCCCGCAGGCGCACAGGGGGCTGAGGCCGGAGCATTTCATTAGCATTGGTAGCAGAACAACTAGCGGTCTTTGTTTTGGAAGAATCTAAGACCGGAGAAGTGCCTGGGATTTCGACCTAGAAGGACTGTTTCAAACATGCTTCAAATACTCACACCTGCTGAAATAGATACTGATTGTTAAACATTGTGAACATTTGGGCTGAAAGTAACACTCGTTCTTGAACAATTGAACACGAGCGTTGATTTTTTAGCTCAAGAGAATGCTAATGTGGCAGGGAGATCCGCAGGTGCAGGCCACGCTTCGGGTTTTGTCGCTGTCAGTTCATGATAGTCCAGTTCAGTAAAGGTTGTGGAAAGTATCTTTGCATTTCTCGCCATGTTTGTGGTGTCATCGTTTGTTCACTGGGATCCCAAAATTGTTTTTGGATGATTCGGATGGCTTCGATTGGTTTGAGGACCTGCTCCAGACCTATGGCCGATTGTTGGTTCATTGCTTGGAGGCGACGAGATTCAACTTCTTCCTTGTTTTGAGATCTATGAAAGAAGTAGGACGAACTAGCTATGTTTGTTTGTTTTTTCTTAAAGCCCTTTTGGCCTGCTAGTTTGCTCCTAGGTGCTTCTAAAGGGAGGGGTATTGATTTTTGGATGTTTTTTCTTTTTTGTTTTTTTTTGTTTTTCGTGGCTTCTGGCTTCTGGCTTCTGTGGCTTCTGGCTTTTGTGGCTTTTGGCTTTCGTGGCTTTCGTGGCTTCTGTGGCTTTTGGCTTTTGTGGCTTTTGGCTTTTTGGCCTATCCATCTATGAGTCTATACCTATCTATTTATCTATCTATCTATCTTTCTTTCTTTCTTTTGGCAGCTGTTCTCCTTTCTCTTTTTGTATTTGCTTTTCCTGTTGTTTTCGTTGCAGAGACGAAACCAAACAAGGAAGCAAGCAAGCACGAGCTGCTCACCTTTGGATCTGGTGTGCTGCTGGGGGGGGCGCTGCGCCCCCCC